TTCCTCGGGTTCTCCGTTATTCTATTCTCTATAAATCGTCAAAGATCGCATTCTTCCCGAATCTTGATGAATACATTTCAATTCATACACACTTATTAATACTGGTTATCGATAACACCACTACATCAACTCACACATCTAACACACATGTAATCAACAGACTCACTACACCTTACTTAATTTCATTCCGCCCGGTCAACTTGTCTTATTGATAAAGAAACACAATGTCATGACATTTCATAAGTGAAATAAACGAAGTACGGAAATAGATACATTGATACATTGCATTAAAGTGAAATATCTTTATACCACATGGTAGTCTGAGTTGGCCTGAAAATTCGAAGCCAAATCTATCATAAAATTTTTTTTAAAGAAGAAAGAAATTTCAGTATGGTTCGAAAGGTTTTATCCCTTCATCAGGTGTTCCACAAGGCTCGTGCCTAGGATCATCATAGCTTGCAAACATGGTATTCAACAAACAAACTAATCTTAAATTTAAACAAGTGTTATGCCTTGACATTTAAAAAGGTAGTATCCCAATCTTTTTTTCTTATAAAATTAACAACCCTACCTTGAAGAGAGTTACATCATCTAGTGACCTCGAGGTATCCTTTATAACTCCTTACTATGGTTTCCCTTTTTTAATAAATACATCGATGACATTGAGCACATACAAAAACGTTTTTTAAAGTACCTGTCTTTCAAAGTCGATAATCCCCCCCCCCCCAATGGTTGAGTTTATCTCTCCTTATGCAAACGTTTTAATTGTAACACACTAGAAGAACGTCGGATAATTTCCGCAGCAGTATTTATTTTTAATTTATGGAATTATAAAATTGACTGTTCCAAAACCACGAGACTTTCTATCTGAATCAAACTCCATCACCCTCAAGCTTCAATTCAACAATTTTTGTTGGATGTCATTATATAAACCCAATGTTTCTTTTATTAAATTTCGACATTGATATGTTCTCAAAAAATAGTACTGAATTCACAGAAAGCATGAAGCGATACACAAATAGTCTACGAGACTGTTATAACCCTAAAATAAATACTCCAGTCTTTTTTGTATTTAAAATAAAAATAACATAAAATAAGTAACAGAATTTCCTATTTAACATTTCTCAGAGTTAAACAGAGCAGAAATGAAAATCAAAAATTTGAGATTGATAATGAGTCCTACTGTAATATTACAAAATTAAACAAAATTATAAACAAGATAAAAAATCAACAGGTAACGATAATATCCAAAATTGTCTGACACGTTAGAATTCTAAGAAAAGTGGGGGTAAATACCCCCCAAAAACGTGTTTTTGGGTGTTTTCAAGATAGTGTTTCTTCTCAACCTGAAGTGCTGAAAGCTAAAAATGTAATGTGCACTTTAAGCGCCAGATACGTAAGACAAAATAAAAATAGAAGATTTTGAAAAAACTTGTGGTTAATATTAAAAAAATATATTTTCAAACTCTTGTCATAAATTAAAAATAAGAAAATTCTTTGCAGAACTTCAATTACTTACAGAAATTTTAATGCAATTTTTCGCAAGAATTTTAATATTTTAGAAAAAAAAATTTTTTTTTAATTTTAATGAAATTGTTTTAAAAAATTCAGTTATTTTTAAGAATAATTTAATTTCATGAAAGAATTAAAATTTTTTGAAAAATAAATACATAAATAATAATTGAAAGTTTCTCGAAAGAATTCAAATATATAAAGAAAATTGAAAAAAATAGTCTCAGAAATTCAATTATTTCAAAAAATTTAAATAAAATTCTTTTAATAATTCTATTATTTAAAAAAATGTTGACAAAATTCTTTGCAAGATTTAGTTAATTAAATTGCAATTTTAATAAAATTTTCCTATACAATTCAATTGCTTTCAATACATTTCTTCTTAAGAATTCATTATTTTCACAAATAATACATTTTTTATGGGAATTCAATTATTTAAAAGAATTTGAATAAAGTTCTTCGCTAGAAATCAATTATTTCCTTTCTTGAGAATTCAATTATTTTTAAAACTTTTGATAAAATGTTTTATAAATTTGCAAAATTATAATAAAATCGGTCATAGAATACAATTATTTTCGTAAAATACAACATTTTTTCTAGAAATACAATTATTGTCAAAAATGTTTGTAAAACTCTTCGAAACAATTCAATTATTTTCGTGAAAAATAAAAATTCTTCTAAGCAATTCAATTATTTAAGAAATTTTAATAAAATTCTTCCAAAGAATTCAATTTTTTTTCAATTCTTTGTCAGATTTCAATTATTTTCAATTTTTTTATTGAAATTTCTAAATAGAATTTAATTATTTTTAAAAAGTTTTTAAAAATTCTTCAAAAATTCAATTATTTAAAAAAATTTGAATAAAATTCTTCACAAGAAATTAATTATTTTCATAAATAATAATATTTTTCTCTGGAATTTCAATTCTTTTTACAAATAAAATTATTCACAGGAATTCAATTCTAAAAAAGATTTTTAATAAAATTCGTTGCAAGAATTCAATTATTTTCATAAATAACAAAACTTATCGCAGACTTCCAATTATTTTTATACAATTTTAAATAAAATGATAGAAAATTGCATTTATTCTTACAATTTTTTTTTAAATTCGTCGACAGAATTCAATTGTTGTTAAAAATTTCGATAAAATTCTTCATAAAAATTCAATTTTAAAAAAACATGCAATTACTGAATAAATTATTTATTTTTGTATTTAAATAATTGAATTCTCGGGAAATTTTCTAATAAAAATAAAGGAAATAAAATTTAAAAAATTTTAAATTCTGAAATTTAATAATTTCTAAAAATTAAAACTATAACCCTTACAAGAATCCAATTATTTTCTACAATTTTTAACTAAACTTCATCTCTAAATCAATTATCTATATTACTTTTTAATATTTTTCCGAAAGTTCTTCAAGAATTCAATTATTTAACCCTTTGAGGACCAGTGTTGCTTTCAGGCAACATGAACATTTTTTTATTAACTCGTGCATAAATTTCCTAATTTTCAAAACTGAATATTGAAACAATAATTTTCACAAAGTCTGAAAAATTTCGTATGACATACACTGGTCTTCAAATAAAAAACATCAATAACTGTTCCTGAAAAGTTTGCTTAAAAATCAAAAATCGCAATTTTTTAAGAAAAAATTTGGTCCTCAAAGGGTTAAATACAAAAATTCAATTTTTATAATAATTGAAACCGTTCATTTTTCTTTTTAAAGATATTAAAGTAGAATATATTCAAAAAATTTTAATAAATAAATTCATAAAATTAACTTTTTAAAAATATTTCTGAATAATTTTTGAAAGACGCAATAGTTTTACAATTACATAACTAAAAAATTTTTTTTTTAAATTGAAATTTGGTAAAATCTTTTTAAAAAATAATTAAAATTTTTGTAAAATCTTTGAAAAACAATTAAATTTTGCAATGAATTTTAATTAAATTCCTTAAAATAATTAAATTTGGCAAAAGTTTTAATAAAATTTCTGAAAATAATTGAATTTTGCAAAGAGTTTTATTAAAATTATAGATGAATTAGAATTTTAATAAAACTCCAGAAAAAAATTAATTTTGCAAAGAGTTTTATTAAAATTCATAAAAATAATTGAATTTTTCAATAAATTTTTTTAAAAATTCCTGAAAATTGAATTTAGACAAAAATTTTATTAAAATTCATGAAAATAATTGAATTTTTCAATAAATTTTTTTAAAAATTCCTGAAAATTGAATTTAGACAAAAATTTTATTAAAATTCCTGAAAATAATTGAATTTTGCAATAAATTTTTTTAAAAATCCTGAAAATTGAATTTGGACAAAAATTTTATTTAAATTTCTGAAAATAATTGAATTTTGTCAAAGAGTTTTATTAAAATTATAGATGATTAGAATTTTAATAAAATACCAGAAAAAAAATTGAATTTTGCAGAGTTTTATTAAAATTCATGAAAATAATTGAATTTTTCAATAAATTTTTTTAAAAATTCCTGAAAATTGAATTTAGACAAAAATTTTATTAAAATTCCTGAAAATAATTGAATTTTGCAATAAATTTTTTAAAAATTCCCTAAAAAATGGAATTTAAACATAAATTTTATTAAAATTCATTAAAATAATTAAATTTTGCAACGAATTTTAATAAAATTCCCGTAAAATAATTAAATTTTGCAAAAAAAATTTATTAAGCGAATAAATAATTGCATTTTTAAAAAATATTTAAAAAATAATCAAATTTTTGATGAATTTTAGTTATAAATAATTTCTCAAAAATTCTAAAATAATAAATTTTTAAAAATTTTAAATTACTTTGTCAGAGAATTACTTTTTTTCAAAACTATTTTAATATTTTCATTTTTTATCGAATTTACACTTGAAGATTATTTATTAAAATTTTTAAAAATTCAATTATTTACAAAATTTTCAATAAAAATTAATAAATCACTGCTATTTCGTCCGTTTTGCCACAATTGTATATTTAGCATGACGGGCATAATAATTCATTGCTGTTATTGCGCTCGCTAACGAACGACATAGACACTGCGTACGTTTAATATTTTAATGTTCTTAAGTTAATTAAATCCAATAATTAGGTCTACTAAACAATAAAAAATAAACATTTTTAAATCATTGAAAAATCAGTAATAGTTATAAACCGTTAATTTCTAATTTTTATAACAAAAAAAATTTCTAACCCAACAAACATAACACATTTTGTCACGTATAGAGAATTATAAAAATTTATTCAATATTGAAAGTTACCAATTCTTTTTCACATCAGGAAGTGACAATAATAAATTACACCGTTGATGAAAATCATTCGAAATTACTAACAGCGTTGAAAATTAAAAAAAATATATAATAATAGGCACATTAAATTTATATAAACAAACTTGTACGAAGTTTGGGGGAAATTTTCATCAGACTAAAAACATTTCTGTTTTGCGTATATAATAAAAAGTGTAAATTAAATAAAACTCTTACCTTTTTATGATAATCCATGATATGTTTGCTTAAAATTTGGTAAACGTTGTTCTTGTTTATAAGCACCGTGTTCTTAGAAATGCATGAATTACTTTGACATTTTTCAGCACACACGAACTTTACGAAAATATATACAGACTTATGTATACAACATATTTACAGTAAATTACCCATTTTTATTATTTATCAAACATTAATATAATATAATATATTATTATATTCTGAAAATTTTACAGTTTGTCAGATCCAAAATTGTATTCGCAATACTTAGATGGGATCTCTCACTTATCAATTATTTCAGAAAGAAGTTGGTTGAGAAAGATAGACAAACTCGTTAGAAAAATAGTCTTCACACTTGACATGTAGAGCATCTATTGGGCTGCTACTTAAGGTGCGGTCACACCTCTGCTGGCAGCCTGCATGCAGGTTGTCATGGTAACATACAAGATTAAGAGAGAGAGAGAGTGAATTCAAATTTAAAATATACTTTCTCGCTTACTCTTGTACACCATAAACAAGTAATTTGTCCTTTTTTGAGAGAATTGTAATTGTAGTTTGAATGTTGCTTATTAAAAATGTGAGAGTAGGAATTATTATACATTAAAATTGGGAAATATTTTTCTTTTTTATAGATACCGTCAACTGGGGCTATTTTTTGTACGCGAGGTTTTTAATGAATAAAATTATTAAAATGAATTATTTTATTCTGCTATTTTGTTAAATAAAAGTTTGATTACTTGACTTGACAATAAAGGGCAGTAAATATTATTATTTAATTCTTTGTCAGTTAACAGAAAAAATTTCTAAAAACGGAAAATTCGTGTAAAATATTTTGAAAGTTCTGAAAAATTAAGGCACTTGCACAGCTCCTAGCGACTAAATTATTTGACCTAGAGAGTTCAAATTTGGTACAGATATGTATTTTCACACGTAGATTACAGGAAAGAAAAATAGTGAAAACGAGAAAGAAAGTGGAAAGTTTGACTTTTTCCCTGACCCTAAAGAATATTCTGATTCACTCTCAAAATTATTAGATACGAAAAAAAATGTTCTATTAAATTTATTTACAAATTTCTTCAAAAGTCAAATTATTCGAAAACATCAATACAGTTTTATTTAAAATAAATATTTAATCATTTTTTTTCATTGGAATTAAGATGTTAAAAAATTTCAAATTCAAACCTTTTTAAATTTAACATTTCATAAGAATATTATTATAAAAAATAAAGATGGCCGACTGACAAAATCATTATTTTATTATTAATAAGAATATTGTTATTGTAATTTCTTCAAAATTATTTGTATAATTTCAATTCAATTAACATTTTCTAGAATTTTTAACTAAAATTGTACTTTAAATCAATAACATCAATTATTATTCAATTAAACTTTTTCAAAAAAATTAATTCTACATAATTAATTTTAATTTCTTTTAAAGAATTTAATTAAAATTTTAATGAAATTTATTATATTAAAAAATTTTATAACAATTTATGAAAATAATTGAAACCTTTTTGAAGAATTTTATTAAATTTTTTTAAAATAATTGAATTCTTGAGAAGGATTTAAATAATAATTTTTGAAAATAATTGAAAACATTTTGAAGAATTTTATTAAATTTTTTTAAAATAATTGAATTCTTCAGAAGAATTTAAATAATAATTTAAAAAAAAAATTGAAAACTTTTTGAAGAATTTTATTAAATTTTTTTAAAATAATTGAATTCTTGAGAAGGATTTAAATAATAATTTTTGAAAATAATTGAAAACTTTTTGAAGAATTTTATTAAATTATTTTTAAATAATTGACTTCTTGAGAAGAATTTAAAAAAAAATTTTGACAATAATTTAATTCTTGAGAAGAATTTCCCTATCTATTTATAAAGATATAATTTAATTCTTGACGAGAATTTTTAAAAAATTTTGAAAATAATTTAATTTTTGCAAAGTATTTTATTACTTTTCAAAAGAATTTAATTCTTGTGATGAATTTTGATATTTATCAAAATAATTGAATTTTAGAAAAGAATTTTTATTAAAATTCCTCAGAATAATTGATTTTATGGGGAAAATTTATGCGATTTTGTTGTTTATCAAGCTAATTGAATTGTTTTGCAAAATTACTTAAAAATTGTTGAAAATAATTGATTTTCTGCGATGAATGAAATGTTATTTATGAAAATAATTGAATCATTGCAACGAATTTTATTGTTTTATTGAATAATTGAATGTTTCTTAAAATTGAATTCTTTCCTCAAGTTTTAATAAAATTTTTAATAATAATTGCATTTTTTAAGGAATTTATTTAAAATTGTTTTAAAAATATTTGAAATTCTGCGATGAAAATAATTGAATTCGTAAATGAAATTTTATTATTTATGAAAATAAATGAATCTTTTCGTAGAATTGTATCAAAAAGCTTTTTTATAATTAAATCTGTTGATAAATTTTATGAAATAATAGTAAATATTGAAAATTATTGAATTGCAAAAATCTTTTGAAAATAATTGAACTTTAAAAGATTTTTATAAATTTTTGAAAATAATTGAATTTTGTCGAAGAATTTTGCTATTTATTTATAAAAGATAATTGAAATGTTGACGAGACATTCGTGTAAATTTAAAAATAATTGTATTTCTTCGAAGAATTTTATTACAATTAAAAATAATTGAATTTCTGTGAAGAATTTTGTTATTTATCAAGATAATTGCATTAAAACTTTTGTAATAATTAAATCGTATTAAAAAAACAACCGCAACTTTTAAACATAATTGATACTTGACTTCACCAAAATACTAATTTTACAAATTTTATAAATTTCATGAAAAATTTCATCGATTATAAATTTCAAGATTTTAAACTTTTAAAACAAAAGTTTCCAATTGAAACTTTCAACGGCACTTTGCTAAATTTGGTGTAAATTCATCATTAAAAGATAAAAGAAAAAAATAGGGGAAATTTTGAAAATAGGGTACGTTTAGGGGACAAAATTAAAAGGGGACTTTTAGGGAAATAGGGGACAGACTGTGAAGCCTGTATTAGATATAGAATTAATTTTTTTATTTTTTATATATATATTTTTTAATTGCAATCATTAAATAATTAATGTAAATTAAAAGATAAATGCTGGAAGGTCGTTTAAAGTCGAAATAAGGAGTGAACTATGTAATATGTATAATAATAATAATAATAATAATAATAATAAAGTCCATTATAATATATACATATATTCATATATACATATGAAATTATATACATAGAGCAAATTGCTGATTTTAGAGATCCATACAATTCAAGAAAACTAAAGACAGGAAGGTCTTGTACTTATTGCTTAATATTATTTTCGATGATAAATATATTCTGTATTGCATCACACTTTCCTATATATAGGAAAAAATGCGAGTTTACCATTCTGTCTCCAATCTTCTTCTTACAGTTAACAGTATCTAATTCTTAATTTTAAGTAAACGTAGATACTAGTTTTTACAGTCAGGTCGCCTAAATGACGGATTCCTCCCTACTTTCATTTTTATTTTTTCACCATATTAGAGAATAGTGTAAAATAATGTAGACAACTTTCACAGGATCACACTTCAAAAGCAAATGAATAAAATATGAAGAAAAAATTATTTCAGATAAAAGAATTGAATTTATTAAAATTTATTAATGAAAATCAAATGGATTAGAAATTCTTCTAAGCTGAAAAACGATAATTTTCATTGAAATATTAATGTTTTAATAATAATTCTTTCAAATATTAAAAGAATAAAAGAATCAAGCCAGAAAGATTGTGAAAGTATATAGGCAATATGTAATTTAGGCGAACCAAATGTGTACCACTATAATATTAGAAATATCAACTATTTAATTTTTCGTAGCAAATTTACACTTTTACAATTTTTTATAATTATGTTAAGAATGATAGACCTATAGAAAATAAATAAAAATCTTTAAATTTAAAAACTATTATGTACATATATATCGTTTTTCATGTAAAGTAAATCTTAAATATGTGACATTTCACTCAGTGAAAAGGATGTTAAACTTTCCTAACAAAGCTAAATTTTCGAAGTGAAATTTAAAGTGATTCGTTCTTATTGGAAATTATTTATATTCGATTTATATGCAATTTATTATATGCAAAATATTAAGTGAAATAAAATACTTATTAAAGAAATTGAATCTTTATTAAAGCGAAAAGTATATTATAAAATAATCTAAAAGTTAAGAAAGATAAGATCCCTTTCACTTTGAAATATGACATATGATAAAACTAACATTTATTTTTCAACAAACAAATTTTGTTTTAATTTTCAGAGAAAATATATCTTAAAAATTATCCAACATAAATCGCATTTTTTTAAATGGAATTTTAACAAATAACAACATACTTCGATACTTGTTAATAATTTTTAGAAGCTTTATGCTAACAAACTTGTGCTTCAGTTTAAGTGCATTTCCACTAAATGATTCTAATTTCGATTTACAAACACGACCTTATCAATATTTCGACGTCGTAGTACTGCGGAAAAAAGTTATTTCTACACATAGTTTTGAAGTTTATTGTCATAAAAAAGTTGTTTTCTTTAATATTAATTTTATGAAAGAGAAAAAAGAAATTAAGTTTCTATTCCAACCAATGAAATTATTTTCATTAAATTTTGCACTTGCATAGAGTATATGTCAGGGTTTAGCTTATTCTTGCATTCAGCTACTAAAGAAGACATAGTTTGTAGTATCTAAAAACAAATATGAATCTGTAACAAGTTTCTCAAGAAAAAAAATTAAATTTTTTTTCACGAAAATTTATAAATTTGATAGAGTTTCATTTTCGACTGTCAAATCTCATCAAGAATATTATGATTTGCCGGTGAGATGACAATATGTAATTTTAGCATATCCTTATTCGGACCAACGAGAAAAGAAGAGATCGCCGTCTCCGAGTTCATAGCTCCATTCTGTTGAGGATTCAGCTCCTCAAAGGGCAGTAAATCATCTAAATTAAGGACACGATCATTTTTATTAAATCTGTGAATAGTTTCCATCACTCTAGCAATGTGTTCGACACCATCTTGAAGTCCATAGATCAAAACTCCGATTTTAACTCTTTTATCAGAATCACTATTGGCTGGCGGCTCTTTACAGGTCAAGGAAAGTCTCACCGATCGTATGACATGTTCCGGCATTTCCACAGTTCCTTGCCAAACTATGAGAAAGAATTTTTTAAACCAAACACCCTTCGGATAAATATCAACGACCCATTCGCAAGTTTGGTCGCCTGCGTATTCGGCGAGATAAGAATGACTAGAAAAAACAAGAGTTCGCGTATGATACGATCGCAAACTATGAAAGTTTTCTATCGTTAAAAGAGAGCTGCACGTGTCAACGGTGTAAAGTCTTGGTTCGAACAGCAAACATCCGTCTTCTTCAGTTTTAATAACTTCCCTAACGCGTTCGTTTTGTCCGGAATGAAAGGACATTCCAATCGCCATGCGTTCGACAAAAAACTCTTTGTACTTTTGAGTGAGAGGCGAGAGAAGCAAATCAGCCAGCTGACGTGGAGACATCATGGGAAACCTCACTGGTGACATGACCGCCATTACAAGTTGCTTTAAAGTTAATTCCAACTCACTAATTGGCATCTGACATTTCAAACGATTTGCCTGATGATCAAGCCAGGACTCAAGACATTTATACAATGTCATTTCGTCCTTGATTACTAAACTGCTTTGATGAAGAAGAGCAACGAGTATGTCCAATTCAAAATTTCCAAAATCTGTCGTTTTTGCAACAAGTTCAAGATTCCATTTGATGAAATTTTGAAATGCCTGGGTGATGTTGTGATGACCACAATTGAGTGTGTACTGGAGCCAAGATACTAATGTTCCATGAGTTGCAGCTAGAGCAATGTGATTTTCCATATAATCGAGACATAGGGAAATCAAATCTTTTACATTGTATTTATCGGCTAAGGAGAGTATTGGGAGTACAATTTCATGGCTGATTCTTATTTTACCAGTATAAAAATAACGGAGAAATTCACTAAAAATGGGAACACATTGAGGAGTTTCTTGTAATGTGACTCTGCTTTCTTGGGATTCAGTCCATTGAGGGCTCATTAACATCACCTGCAATATAGAAATTTGTAAAAATTATTATATTTACAGGCAAAGAAGCAAAGATTCAAAAAATTACATTTTTTTAGGTAGGGCGACAAAAGTACCAATTCCAAAAGTTCTTAATTACAGAACTTGGATCGACTTTAAACGAGAAAAAAAGTCGCTTTAGTCGATTAAAAAAACAAAAAAATCGAAAAAGTCGATTAATTAATTCAGTGTTTTCACAAAATTCTATTTTTTATCTACCTGACTGATACTACTTTTTAGTAGATTTTAGGTAGAGTGGGAGCAATTTTGTCATTCTTATTACGCTAGGCCCTTTTACAAAATTTGAATTATTTAAAAAATAGTTTAATATGTTTTAAAAATTCAATTATTTTTAAAAAATTAAAAAATATTTTTTTTTCGACTTGGGGCAAATGTTTTATAATAATTAAAAATGTTGGACTGATAAAATCATCATTTTATACCTATTATTATTATAAGAATATTGTTACTGTAACTTATTAAAAATTACTTTCATTATTTTAATTCAATTATTATTTTCCACAATTTTTAACTAAAATTCTTCTTTATAAAGTGTAAATTAATTATTATTAATAATTTCTGAAAAATTTCTTTCAACATTTTCAAATCCTTTTGTTTACAATTCAATTTTACGAAATTTCATCTATTATTCAGGTATTCGGAAATTCTTCAATCAAATATATATTAGAAAATAAAAACTTCAAATAACTTCAAAAAAATTCAATTCAACTTTTACAAAAAAATTAAATCTACAAAAGTGTGAAAAATTCAAACATTCAAAGATTATAATTTGAGACCTGCTTTTCAAAACTCAATTATTATCTAAAGTTTTAACTGAAATTCATATTTCAATCATTATTATTAGAAAATTCTACGACAATTCAATTATTTAAATAAAAAAAAAAAATAATTTGTTAAAGAATTTAATGTTTATTAAAATTTAACTCTCATTTAAAGAATTTTATCAACAAATTTTTAAATAGGTAATGAAAATTCTTTTGACGAATTTCAATAAAATTTTTAAGAATAATTTCATTTTTCGAGAAATTAGATTAAAAATGTATTCAAAATAATTGAATCTCTGTAAAAAAAATTTCATTGAATTGAGAAAAGTTTTTGAAAATAATTGATATTTTGTCATGAATTTTATTAAAAATTTGTTTAAATAATTGAAATACTGCCAAGAATTTTATTAAAATTTTTGAAAATAATTGAATTTTAGAGAAAAATTTTAATATTTATAAAAATAATTGAAATTTCGACTATAACTTTTTTTAAACTTTTGACCATAATTGAATTTCTGCTAAGAATTTTATTACTTTTGAAAATAATTGAATTCTTGAGACGAATTTTTTAATAATATTTCTTTTAAAATACCTAATTATTTTTAATACAAAAATAAATAATTTATTGAATAATTGAATGTTTCTCAAAATTGAATTCTCATAAAGAATTTTATTAACAAACTTTTAAATAATTGCATTATTTTGACGAATTTTAATAAAATTTTAAGAATAATCACATTTTTCGAGGAATTTGATTAAAATTGTATCAAAAATAATTGAAATTCTGCAATGAGATTTATTATCTACGAAAATAATAATTGAATCCCTGTAAAAAATTGTATTACATATTTATAAAAATAATTGAATCTCTGAAAACATAAATTGAATATTTTTGAAAATAATAGAATTATCGCGAAGAAATTTATAAAAAATGTTTAAAATAATTCATTTCTTTTGGAAAATTTTATTAAAATAGTAGATATTGAAAATCATTGACTGGAGGAGAATTTTTGAAAAAAAAATTTTGTTAAAAAGAATTTCATTAAAATTTTTGAAAATAATTGAATTTATCGTCAAAATTTCAATTGAGGCTCCGAATCTTAAAAGGGCACTTTTAACCATTTAAAATCAATGCCCTCTTAAGATCCATAGCCTCAATTAAAATTTTGACGATAAATTTTTTAAACTTTTGACCATAATTGAATTTTTGCGAAGAATTTTATTGAAAATTTGAATTTGAAAATAATTGAAATTCTTTGATGAATTTGAATAAAATTTTTAAGAATAATTATACATTTTTCGAGAAATTCCATTAAAATTGTATTAAAAATAATTGAAATTTTGCGATGAGTTTTATTATTTATGAAAATAATTGTAAATCTATAAATTTTTTGATTATTTATGAAAATAATTGAATTATTGCGAAGAAAAATTGTAAAGGCAACTCTTTTAAAATTGAATTAAGAAAATTGAATTAAAGAAAAATTAGATTTCAAGAATAAGCACAATAACTTTAGAAAACAATAATTTTCCAGAATTGCAATCAAAATTCCCTGACTTTTCCAGGTTTTTTCAAGGTTTTTAAATATTCCCTGACATTTCCAGAGTTTCCAGGTTTCCAGGTTGCGTGGCAACCCTGTCCCGGCTTTGTCCTAATTTTTTCCGTTTCTTTTTCTCATAAAATTTAAATTTATTTGATTTCAAACATAAATAAATCTACAAATGGCTTTCAAATTTTTTATTAGATTTTTATGAATAATTAAATTCTTTTAAAGAGTTTCTTTAAATTTTTTGAAAATAAAGTTTTTTTAATAATTTTAATTAAAAATTCGGAAAATAATTGAATTAAACAAAGAATTTTTTCAATTTTTAAAAATAATCTTGTTTGTTCATAATTATTATTGAAACTTTGATTAATTCAATATTATTAAAATGTATTGATACTAATTGAATTTCTGTAAAGAATCTTACTATTTATAAAAGTAATTGAATTCTTCCGAAGAATAATTATTACATATTTATGAAAATAATTAAATGTTTGTTTACGTAGAATTTCATTACAATTTTTGAAAATACATATTTAAATTGAGCTCCCGCGTCCAATAACTCGATCTGCGCTTGAACTGAAAAATTCAAGCCAGTCAAGCCGGCAGAAAATGGAAAAAAATAAAAGTCGGAATTTTTAATTTTAAAACATACTACCGTATAGAGCATAAAAATGCCCAACTTTTTTGTCTTTGAAATTTTTCTGTAGAACTTTTATTTTTAATAATAATGGACAAAAACTGAATTTTTTTTATTCTTCAATTTCATTGAATTTCAAAACATAAATCGACTTTTCTCAAACAAATCTTAATGAAATTAATTAAAAATTGATATACTTACTTATCAGGGTCTACCGAAGACGATGAAGTGATTGAAACATTAAAAAAAGTTTATTGCAAAATTATTTGTTAATATAAATACAGACCTGTCAATAAATACGTTTTCTCAACTTTGACGAGAAAAAGTGTGCGGTGAACTTTCGAGTTGACACAACTTCCAGTGAGACATTTGTTTATTAACATGTGAAGAAGTTTTTTGAAAATTTTTATTTAAATCGGATGAAAAATAAAGAAAATACATAATGTTTAAAAAAATATGCGTCGTGCGGTGTTTTGACATTTCGACGCAAGAGGAGAAAACTATTGGAAACTAACAGTGGTCGCCTTTTAAAAATGGCTGCTTGAACGTAAACGTAATTTCAAAAGGATTTTTCTCCTAATTTGGACAGTTATTGCAAAATAGAAAAAAACCAGTTATCCTGAAAATTTGCTTTTTCATTTGTACACAAGAAATTGAAAATCCAATATAATACACGACGTTAGGAAGTAAAATATGAGAATTAGATATGCCCATTAGGTGCTGCCCTCTGGTGGTAATTTTATGCATCGCGCATTTGTTTAACTTTTTCCTATTTTTCTTCCTGTCGTTGTAAATCTAAATAAATCTTTTACTGCCTATCATATTATAAATGTATAGAATTGTTTTTATTTTAAATATAATACATGAATAAACTTATTTTTAAATAAATCAACAGAAAATAGCAATAGTTTCCAATAGTTTTCTCCTCTTGCGTCGAAATGTCAAAACACCGCACGACGCATATTTTTTTAAACATTATGTATTTTCTTTATTTTTCATCCGATTTAAATAAAAATTTCCAAAAAACTTCTTCACATGTTAATAAACAAATGTCTCACTGGAAGTTGTGTCAACTCGAAAGTTCACCGCACACTTTTTCTCGTCAAAGTTGAGAAAACGTATTTATTGACAGGTCTGTATTTATATTAACAAATAATTTTTCAATAAACTTTTTTTAATGTTTCAATCACTTCATCGTCTTCGGTAGACCCTGATAAGTAAGTATATCAATTTTTAATTAATTTCATTAAGATTTGTTTGAGAAAAGTCGATTTATGTTTTGAAATTCAATGAAATTGAAGAATAAAAAAAATTCAGTTTTTGTCCATTATTATTAAAAATAAAAGTTCTACAGAAAAATTTCAAAGACAAAAAAGTTGGGCATTTTTATGCTCTATACGGTAGTATGTTTTAAAATTAAAAATTCCGACTTTTATTTTTTTCCATTTTCTGCCGGCTTGACTGGCTTGAATTTTTCAGTTCAAGCGCAGATCGAGTTATTGGACGCGGGAGCTCAATTGTGGAAAACAATTTAATAATTTATAAAAATAATAGAAATTTTGAGAAAAATTTAAAGAAATTTCAAACATAATTCGAATTTCTGCGAAGAATTTTATGGAAATTCATGAAAATAATTGAATTCTTATGAAGAATTTTTTTTAAAAATAATATTCAAAAAAATTTAGTAAATCTAAAGAATTTTGCTATTTATGTAAATAATTGAATTATTTTTGAGAAGAATTTTTTTACAATTTCTAGAAATAATTGAATTCTTTCCAAGAATTTTAATAAATTTTTTAAGAATAATTATATTTTTTCAGGAATTCGATTAAAATTGTATTAAAAATAATTGAAATTCTGCAATGAGTTTTTACTATTTAGGAAAATAATTGAATATATTGCTCATCGAAGAAATTTTTAAAAATAAAATTATAATTATGGTGACTAACTTCCCTTGATTATTTTCGAAAAATTTAAATAAAATTCTTTAAAAGAATTTAATTATTTTTAATAGAATGTAAAGAAGTTTCAATTATTTCAAAAATTTCCAATTATTTATTTATAAAAATTCAATTATCTTGAAACAATAGAGTTGAAAAATTTCAAAAAAAGGGTGAACACCTTTAAATTTTCATGTAACTTAATAGTTTGCTTTACCTGAAACACGTCACTAGAAGCACAAAGAATAAGTCGGTGTGCTGGATACTCGACACCATCTACGACGAGGCAGATATCATTCATTAGACGTTCAGCGTACAATGTTGCTATTTTCAGCAAAACAGTTCGGGAATTGTCCACCTGGAAATTACAAAATAATTAAACAATGATACAACAAAATATATACAATATATACATTTCTTTGTACAAAAAAGTCAATATATTGATTTATTAAATGAAAATCTAGACTTTTGTTCTTAACATCTTACACCAAATAATTACTCGAAGAAGTCGAAACGAAAAAAAGCATTTATTCATTCAAGTTATTTTTATACTTTACAGAAACGGTCTAACAGAAAGCAAATAATTAAATACAGACTTCGTACTCGATAATTAATTTTAGAAAAGTAGCAACTGACAAAAATTCCATTCTATATTTTAATTTGCTGACTTTTTCCTAATTTTCATAAAAAATATATTTACTTTTTTCTTATCCTGCAAATAAATTTAATTCCTGCAACGAATTTATTATTCATGAAAGAATTTAAATATTTATAAAAATAATTTCCTTTCAAAACAATTTTATAAATAAAAATTTTTTAAATAATTCATTTCTTTCGACTAATTTTATGAAAATACTAATTTAAATAATTGAATTCATGAGAAATTTTTATTATTTGATGAAAAAAATTGAATTCTTACGAAGATTTTTACAAAAAAATTTTTAAATAATTGAATTCTGTTTGGAAATTTTATGAAAATAGTAGATATTGAAAATTATTGAATTACGAAAAGTTTATAAAAATAATTTAATTTTATAAAAGAAGTCTATTAAAATTTTTGAGAATCATTGAATGTCTGTGTGACATTTTATTAAATTTTTTTTAAAATAATTAAATTCCTAAAAAGCATTCTATTATTTAAGAAAATATTTTTTGAATTTTTGCGAACGATTTTATTAAAATTTTTTTAAATAATTGAATTTCAAAAATAAAAATATTACTTTTAAAAATAATTGAACTCTTGTGATGAATATTGATATTTATGAAAATAATTGAATTTTGCAAAGAATTTTATTAAAATGTCAAAATTTAATTAAAATTGTATTTAAAATAATTGATTTATTTCGAACAAATTATATTAAAATATTTAAAAATAATTGAATTCCTGTGAAAAATTCTAATATTTTTGTAAATAATTGATTTTTTCAAAGAATTGAAATTAAATTTTTAAGAATAATTACATTTTTTTAGTAATTCTTATAAAATTGTTTTAAAAATAATTGAAATCCTGCGATGAATTTTATTATTTATGAAAATAATTGAATAGTTGCTAAGAATTTTATTAAAATTTTCAAAAATAATTGAAAAAAAATTGAAAAAATTTTATTATTTTGTGTATTTTGTTTTCGCAATAATTCAATTATTGAATGATTGCGAAAAATTTTATTAAAATTTTTAAAAAAATTGAATTTCTGTGAAAAATTTTGTTATTTTTAAAAATAATTGATTTCTTCATAAGAATTTTATAAACATTGTTTTAAATAATTACTTTTTTCGAAATATAATAAATAATTATGAAAATTTTGTTTTAAATAATTGAATTCTTGTGAAAAACTGTATTTGTGAATATGATTTAATTTTTCCATTAATTAATTTAAAATAATATTAAAAATAATTGAATTCTTACTTAGAATTTTATTAAAAATTTTTTTATAAAATTGAATTTCAATGAAAAATGTTATTATTAGTGAAAGTAATTAAATTATTGTGAAGAATTGTATAAAAATTTTGTTAAATAATTTATTTTTTCGAAATCTTTTTGTAAATGCTATTCTTAAATAATTTAATTACGGTGGAAATTTTATTATTTATGAAAATAAATGAATTTTGGATGAAATTTTATCAATTTTTTTTAAATAATTGAATTTTTTTACGAAATTTTATGAAAATACTAGATATGGAAAATAATTGAATTTTGAATATTTTTTTTTTTAAATTGAATCGTTTTAAAGAATTTGATTATAATTTTTGAGAATAGTTTTTTTATTTCTAATATTAGCGAATTTAAAGTAGTGGAAATTCTCAAAAAATAGAAATAGTAGCTTTTAATAGGTGAAGTCTAAAAAAAGTACCCAAATATTAGCATAACGTAAAAAAAGTAGTAAATAGTAGGTTTTAGTATATAGTAGATGAGTGCGAAGCCTGTTATTACGATTCCATACCTGCACTGAATCCACAGTTTCATTTCTTTCACTGGAACTAGGAACATCAGTAATATCTTCATCTTTCTTACATCCTTCTTCCATCTTGAATCTAATAATAAAGACAAACTTTTCAATGTTTGTAAAAATATTAAACACATTTGTACTTAGTTTTATTGTTAAGTAATGAACAGTAAGATGAAATTTTAACGAATTTGTCTTTAAAAATTTGAATATTTATAAAGAAATTTTTTTCGATTTTTCCATCTTTTCCATCATCTTCCAAAAATCGAAAAAAATTTCTTATAAATATTACAATGACAGGAAAAACTATTTCAAATATAAATTTGAATAATTTTAATCAATTTATTCCATTTATTCTGCGTGTAAATTCGATGTAATTATTATATAAATATTTCCTTCATTTGAAAAATTGTTACTTGAAAAGGTTAATCTTAGGGAATTTTAGTTAACAAACACTTTCAGATGATTTTCAGTGGAATGACCCGAATATTTCTTGAGAAGTGATAAAAATAAAATTCTTTCGTAACTGAATGTTTTTTAAAAGCCAGTCATGAAAATTATTTACTTGAACCAAGAATTTTGTTTCGCTTTTAATGTAAGTAGGTATTAAAGATTAGAATTATTTTTATTAATAATTACCATAGTCAGACAAAATAAATGGTTTGACAATTTAGTGAAATGAATAAATAAATTATATTAGGGGTCAGCAGGCGAAAGCTAGTAGACTAAATTGAAAATAAAAATTACGGATCTTATAAAGAATTTCTAAATTGTAATAAAATTCCCAATCAAATTTAAACATATTTTCTAAATTTTATTTTTACATCAATTTAAGAAATTTATAATTAGGAATTCTCGATTAGGGAAAAAATTACTTTGAAATAATTTGGGTAAGTTTATTATGCATTATAATAATATTATTTGAATTTAATAATAAAATTGATGTGTTAAAATAAATGAAAGATTATTAGTCTTTAACGAATATGGATTAAATAACCTATTTACATTTTTCAGGAATCCTTTATGTCTTCTATTTTCGTACACAAACACAACCAAAATAATGGTTATTTTGACATTATTTATATACTTTCATTTGCATATTATTATTTCGTTTTATATAAAATATAAATCACTTTCTGAAAAACATTATTCTGAATAACTTGTGATCGTTACTTCCAAGTGCAGAAATGACCTTCCAAATTTAAATTATTTTTTCTAACCCGAATAAAATAAAGATTCTGCACCACGTACCTAAATGAACATTCCTAATAAATTTTTCATTATTTTTTAATTTTAATATAAATATAAATATTTCTGTGAATGGAGTTGGCAGAATTTTAGTACTAGAAATATCAGCTTGAAGGCGCTGACATAGCTTTAATTTAGAAATTTAAAGGTCAACGCACAACTGCTTCGCGAAAGTCGTTCGCGAACGCAAATAATAAGTTAGAAAATGACAGAGATATATTTGTGTCCTTTTCTAACTCATTGTTTACGTTCGCGAAGCATGAGTTAGAAAAAGACGGAAATATATTTTTTTTTGTTTTTATCTCTTACTATCTCATGGTTCACGTTCGTGAACCTATTGACAGGATTTTAGCATGTGTTGCTATAGCAACCGACGCAGACGCAGAGTTTTGGGAACCTATTGGAGAAAGGCCTTAAGGGGATGTCAAAGTCGATGCGATTTTCCCATTGAAGCTCAATGCAAAAATCCAATCGACTTTGACATCCCCTTAAGGGCATCCGGGAAATAATACTGGTTTCGTGATAGACGTCTCATTTAAAAAGAAAAGAATATTTTGATTCGGGATTTTTTGGTAAATATAGAGAAATGCTCTGGGACCAGCGGTCCTCTCGGAATTTAGAGAAATTTTAATAATTAATTATTGAAAAAAACTGTTTAAATATACGGAAAAAAGGGGTTTTGAACGTTTCAGTATAGACGTCTCATTTTGAGAGGATAAAATATTTCGGGTTCATATTTGGAGGGTTGATAGAGGAAGACTCTCCGAGGAGCGGCCCTCTCCGTTTTTGCAATAATTTTGCGAGGAAATTATTTTATTAACGATTGAAAGTGGAGTAATTTGAGTTTAATACACGGAGTAATAATAAGGAGACTGTACTACCAGCAGGGATGGGTACGTATTATACATGATGTATTATACCTGGTTTTCTACACGTATAATACGTGGTATTATACATCTTTAGTTTTCTACGTATGTCATGTATTTTACATACATTGCGTGACGCGCGGGATTTTTAAATTTTAGACAAGAAACATGTGATTTTAATAGTATATTAAATAAATTTTAAACATAATTTCAATTTAAAAATTTATTAATTAACATTGAAAAGTTTTTTTAAAATTTATGTTTTAAAGAAATAGCACACAAACAAAGTTCTAACTGTTCGTGGTCAGGTCAGGTTGTCTGCTGCCGCCAGACCCATTTATAGGTTATACATCTCCATGTGCCAGGCCATGTGTCAGTGATTGTTGTACAATATTGCTTTTTTTAAAATAAAAAAAAATTAACAAAAGAGGTGGAAGGCCGAAACACAATTCCTGGGAGGAATTGTGTTTTATTCCCAAAAATAATAAAGGGAAAAATGTTGCCCTGTGTCCTATTTGCAACAAAACATTGCAAAATACAGCTATAATAATAATTTAGTACTTTTGTATGAAAAAGTTTATTTGAAACCCGTTTATTTTCAAATAAATAATAAATTAACGTGTCTTTTTAAAATTGTTCTATATAAATATATAATACAAGTTATGAAAAAATGTGTGTAAAAAACCATATGAAAAATCAATAAATATATATTATACGCATTTTTTTGTAAACTTACCTTATATGTAACCTTTTTTGGTTTTTTCTTGGTATTTTTAGCAACAATTTAGTAATGAAAACCAGGAAACAAATAAAAAATAATCAAACATATGATTTTTATTATTATTGTGAGGTTTGTACGCATGCGCAGAACTGGACATGTATAATACCAGGTTTTCTACAATTTTCTACGTATTATACGTCATTTATGTATTATACGTAGAAAACTCCGAAAAAAACACTTTTACCCATCCCTGACTACCAGTGAGATACCGTGCCAAATGTCTGCCTTGGTTCACTGAGTAGTAAATTTTACTCAATTTCAATGTTCAGCGTTGGCACTTATACTTGCGTTACGCTGCGTATATACGGCCATGACCTGGTGACTCTGAGTAGTAAAGACTTCTCAAAAATAAAGCGCATGCGCAGTTTGCAACTATCTTCGTCACTCTTGAAAGAACGATGAGAGAGATCATTATTTTGACGTGCGAGTTAGAAAGTGTGGTTATGTTTTATTGTTGACAACAGCAACTATACGGGAAAATCAACATTTAAATAAGAAAAAATATTAATTAACAAACTGCAAAGAGAAGAGTAAGTTCAATATATTATAATATTAATAAATTGTAATATAGGTGTGAGTAGATATTAATAAAAAGATTATTTTTGTCGAACCGGAGTAATTCTTTTCTTTGTATGATAAACTGAATGAATACAATATAATATAATGCTATAATCGCTATAATGCTAATATAATTAATATCTACTCACACATTTCCTATATTACAATTTATTAATATTATTTAATAGTATAATATATATTGTCAACAGTAAAACATAACCACACTTTCCAACTCGCACGTCAAAATAATGATCTCTCTCATCGTTCTTTCAAGAGTGACGAAGATAGTTGCAAACTGCACATGCGCGTTATTTTTGAAAAGTCATTACTACTCAGTGAACCAAGGCAGAAATCTGGCACCAGTTTGACTAGGGGATACGCTGGAGAGCAGTCTCCTTATTATTACTCCGTGGTTTAATACATTTCCCTCAGTTCAACTCGCGACCACTTCCGAGAATTGGCGCCACCTCCTTGACCACTGACACATAGATCCACTTGTCTGTGTGCTCGCCGCCATATTGTCTCTCACTTTCGCCAAAAATCCAACTTTTGTAATTTCGTTTTTCAATATTTATTTCAAAAATTACTTGCAAATTTCGAGAATATTCTTTATCATCATGAATTCCCCTAATTATCATGATAAATCCGAACTAAATATCTCTAATTATTTAGGAGTGAGATGACACGCGGGAAAACACTTTTTGGGCTCGATTTTTCCCGGATGCCCTTAAAGGCCTTTCTCCAATAGGTTCCCAAAACTCTGCGTCTGCGTCGGTTGCTATAGCAACACATGCTAAAATCAACGCAACGCAATCATTCGCAGACAAACGCAGAGTTTTTGGATCCTATTGGAGAAAGGCCTTAATAAGGAAAGAAGAAGAAGAAAACGTCTGCTGAAGTGTTGTTTTGCCGCATGGACCATCGCTGTTGTTTTGAAAAAATATATTTGTCATTGAACGAAGAAGAATATTGATAGTTCACCAATGCTATAAAAAGGTTAATATAATTTTTAATATTCAAATATGTTAAACTATGCGTAATTTTTTTTAAAGAATTGTGGAGTAATGGCCCAAGTAAAAAAATAAATTATGATATCTGCATCTTATTTACATGGTGTATGTTTAAAAAATACCACTTTTGGTATCGTGAAAAAACATTTTAAATACTTTAAAGACATTCAAAAATATAAGTTTTGTGTAAAATTAATTTTAAAAACTATGACCTCCAGCAACGTTTTATTTTCTTGTGTTCTATAGAGGTTAAATTTAATATAATTAGAACGATTAAAACTTTTAAATTGATGTTTTTTCCAAGAAAAACTCGATAAAATGTTTTTAATTTTAAATTATTCTTTCAATATTATTTATTTTATTTATTAGAAAGAAATGATTTAATTTAAGGATTAAATTGTAACCAGAATTAATTTTTTAATATTATTTAATTATTTCAAAAGTTTTAATGCAATTATTTTGATAAATAACAAAATTCTTCACAAAGATTCAATTATTTTTAGGAATTTAAAAAAAAATCTTTGAAAAATTCAATTATTTCTATAAATAACAATATTCATCACAAGAATTCAATTATTTTAAAAAATAATAAAATTCTTTGAAGAAATTCAATTGCTTTTACAAATTTTAACGAATATCTTGTCAAAAATTCAATTATCTTTATAAATAGCAAAATTTTTCCCCAAAAATTCAATTATTTCAAAAATTTATAAATAAAATTCTTTGCAAAATTTCAAATATTTTCAAAAGTTTGTCATAATTCAATGATTTTCAATACCTATTTACTATTTTTATAAAATTTATCAAAAAATTTAATTATTTTTATAAAATATCAAAATTTATCACAAGAATTCAATTCTTTTGAATAGTAATAAATAAAATACTTTGCAGAAATGAAATTATTTTCAAATTTTTTTTTAAAATTCTGGTCAATAATGAAATTATTTTTATAAATAGATAGCGAAATTCTTCTCAAAAATTAAATTATTGTAAAAAATTGTAATAAACATCTTTTCAAAATTTCAATTATTTAAACAAACTTGAATAAAATTCATCGCATGAAATCAATTATTTTCATAAATTATTATTTAAATTCTTCTCAGGAATTCAATTATTTTAAAAAATTTTAATAAAATTCTTCAAAAAGTTTTCAATTATTTTCAAAAATTGTTATAAAATTTTTAATGTAATAAATTTTATTAAAATTTTAATTAAATTCCTTAAAAGAAATGAATTATTTTCAAAAGTTGTTAAAAATTCTAGAAAATAATAATAAATTGAATTAAAATGATGAAAATAATTTTGAAGAAGTTGAATATTCTTATATAAAATAATAATTTTATCCCTTGGTTATCGTTAATTATTAAAAAAAACATGAAGAAATCGATTACTCCGAGTCGAAGACTTGGATATTTAATACTTTAAAATCAATTTAATACTTTAAAAACTTATAAAAGAAAAAAGTCATTTGACCCAGTGCCTGAACGTCAAATTTCTTATGTTGTCCCGTCGCGTTGTGCAGTCTCGATCGCTGCGCAAAATTGAGGTTGTAAATATTTTATTAAATTCGGAAAATATTGTGTTATTTTTAATATGAATACATACTGAATTGGCTCAGGGGGATTCCCGGTCATTTTTCCGAAAAAAATTTTCCGAAAGCAAATTTCCGCAAGTTTTTTTTTCCGAAAAATCATTTATTCAGAAAAAAAAATTCCGAAAAAATTTTTCCGACTCCAATTCTCCGAATATAAACTTTTCAAAAAAAAAAATTCCGACTCTAATTCTTTGCATATAAATTAGTAAAAAATTTTGCCAAATAAAAAAATTAAAAAAAAACAATTGAAATCGGTTTCTTAATCAATATACGAGACAATATATGAGAAATAACTTAAAAAGGCTTGCAGAACAAATATCTTAAATCGAATCAGTTTTGAAAAAGTTTAACCTTTTAATATAAAGAAAACTTTGATCATATGAAAAATGACTAAATAAACAATTTTTGTAAGTTTTAAATATTTTTCTTGAAAATTGATATTTGTTCTTCCAGAAGATATGAGTAACAATAATATTAATATTCATTAATATATACAATAATAATAATAATAATATTCTTTAATGTCAATTCAATATTTTTTCTAAAGGTCTGCATAGTAGGTTTTTGTATAAAAGAAATAATAATTTCAACTTGTTCACAGTTTTTCAACACTTTTATTGATTAACAAAAACCACAAAGTAATTTGAATTTTCGGAATTATTAATTTTCGGAAAAATTATTTCGTAAATTTAGATTCGGAAATTTTTTTTCGAAAAATTAGACTTGCGGAAAATTTTTTTCGGAAAAATGACCGGAAACGCTCAGGGGACATTGTACCAAAAAAAAATGTTAAACTAAAATTCTTCTGAAATTAGTTAAATTTGTTTATATATATATATCCTTATTAATAAAATCAGATGTCTGTCTGTACATTGCTTAAAACTTCAAAATGTTAACATGATTAGTTATTATGGACATCAGAGATTCCAAAAATGTTCTTAAAAAATTTAATGTATGTATGTATGTATGTATGTATGTATGTATGTTTGTCTGTCACAAAAACTTTGTACCCCAATCACACAAAAACATGTGAATCGATTTAAGTCCAACTTGGTAGGTTATTAGGTATTGACCCAAGGAAGGTTTATAAATTTACAGATTTAAAAAATATTAATTAGAACGGGAGATATTCAATTTCTTCAAAAAATTCAAAAAATCGAAAATTTCAAAATTTTTAATTTTTTCATGGATTGCTTTTAAAGTTTCTATACTTGAGTATCACATGTTATTTAGTCACATTTTAGCATAATTTTGCAAAAAATAAAGTCCTATAACTAATATGTAAGTATAAAAATGTTTTCAAAAAATCGAAAATTTCAAAATTTTACATTTTTTTATGGATTGCTTTTAAACTTTCTATATTTGAGTATTACATGTTATTTGGTCACATTTTAGCATAATTTTTCAAAAAATACTATTCTACAACTAAGATGTAAATATAAAAATATTTTCAAAAACTTGAAAAATGGAAAATTTCCAAATTTCACAATTTTTAATGGATAGCTTTTAAACTTTCTAAAAATGAATATTATATGTTATTTAGTCAGATTTTATCATAATTTTGCAAAAAATACTATCCTACAAGAAATATAAAAAAATTTTCAATATATCAAAAAATCGATACTAATTACTATATGAAGTATAATTCAGTAGTATTTTTGGAGTCTCTGATTAATATTTTGATGTCAAAATAGTGCAATTCAAAATTATTTATCAAATCAATCTAATATTTTCAAGAAGTTCAGAAATATTGAAAATGGAAATTTTTTATGATTAAAATGATTTCGCAGGATGTCAAGAATTGTAAGTCACCTGTGATACAATACAAGCATATTATGCCACTAGGCAAAAACTTACATGTTAAAACGTTTTTTCATTTTAACTCTAGATTTAACTTTAAGAGATGTTTTGAGCAATGTAAAGACAAAAGTTAACACGGTGTCTATTTTTGTTTAACAAAATTCCCTGCTTTGTCCAAACTTTTCACGGTTTATCTCTTTTTTGTCAAATTTAAATTTACTTGATTTTATCCATAAATAAATCTACAAATGGCTATAAAAATTTACTTATTTTATGAAAATACTGTTTCTTAAGTTCATATAAATATAGATTGTATTACTTGCTGTCGTACAGTTTTCTGTTTATACTAATACATTTAACTGGGTATCTACCAAACGGGAAAAACTGTAAAAAGCTGGGAATATGCCGAACCGGGAATTTTCCTATCAAATTAAGAAAAAGTTTCATTATATTAATTCGCTTTTAAAAAATTGCTTTTTACTTCAATTTTTATTGATGTATAATATTTATGAAAACAGACCCGAGTCAAAATTTAAGCCCTACTTTCAGCCTAAAATTTAGGTCTTATGTTAGGTTTTAGCAGTCGTAACGTAGGGTCTACTTGCGATACAATTAGTTCCAATTAGACTCTACTATAACTCCAAAAACTGTATGGAAAATTTAATTTTTTTAATACATTAATTAAAGTACTACAAATTGATAAATATTGTTCTCTGCATTTGAATTGGTTAAAATAACTAATTTGATAACAAAAAGTCAATCACTGATTCAAATAGTAATATTTTCCTACTAAAATAGCTATAATGGTAACTAATTATTATTTTTTTTCCGGTCAAATTAAATTCCCTAGCTATTTCCTGATTTTCCAGATTGGTAGAAACTTAAATGTATTGGTAGAAACTAAAACCCGTCGAAGACGGGTACGACAGCTAGTATATATATATATATATATATATATATATATTTAACTAGTTTTATTAAAAATAATGGATTTATATAAGAATTTTAGTTAAAAACACTAAAACAAATTGAATTTTGAAGCAATTACAAATGATTGTAAATTATTTTCAAAAGTAGTAAAATTCTTCTCAGAAATTCAATTATTTTCAAAAATTTTAATAAATAATTCTTGGCAAAATTTTAATTATTTTCAAAAACTTTCCTCAGTTCAATGATTTTTAATATCATCTACTACTTACTTTAATAAAAATTTCTAAAAGAATTCAATTTAGTTAAAACAATTTTTAATAAAATTCTACGCAAACATTTAATTCTTTTCATAAATAAAGAAAAATTGAAAGAAATTCAATTATTTACTAAGTATTTTAATATATTATTCAATTATTTTCATAAATAATAACATTTTTTACTGGGATTCAATTATTTCCATAAAAAATAAAACTCAATGTTAAATTTCAATTATTTTTAATACAATTTTAGTGCAATTCCTTGAAAAAAAGTTATTAAATTCTTAAAAATTTTATTGAAATTTATTAAAGAAATTTTGCAACAATTTATTTATTAGAATTTAAGTATTATTTTTAATACATTTTTAAATAAATTTTTTTAAAGAATAAAATTATTTTCAAAAA